ATTTAAAATTCTTATCTAGGTATCTATTTCCCAACGAAACATCAAATAATTTTTCAATTTATGAAGAAAAAAGTGTAAAAAAAAGCTAGTATAGTAGTTATTACAGGCCATTACACACTTTTTAATTTCGTATTCCACACTTAGCATTTCGTACTACACACAATTTTAGTCCCTGCGGCGGAGTGAACGGCACACGAAACGGCAATGGAACTGAAAAACGGCCGGACTCGTCACGGACATTTTTGTAACGTGCCAACCACTTCAACTCAGTTCTGATGGTATTTTGAATTAAATAACAAGTTGATTTTATAATGATAGTTCAGTTGTATTTATTTAGCACATAAAATAGACTAAGTCCAATTAATTGACTTATAAAAATGTGGTAAACGGGATGTGACTTAGTATCGACTTGGTGGCTGCTCTGCTGGTGCTCGTCGTCTCGGCTGGTGTTCGTCTGATGGACACTTGTCCATCGACGTACCTTGTCGGTTTTCCTAATAGATCCCTCCTATGGCATTTTTAGTATAAAAAAGTCGCGTACACCTGACGTCATTTCGGGCGTCCTCTACGAAATAATGTTAATTGTGGATTATATGTTTCCAAAGTTATCTATTTGTGCTGTTTTACGGCTTTTTCGTCTTTCCTAGAATATGGAAATTGCGCGCTTATACCTATCACGTGTTCTTATTGATGTGGCCGTCATTAATTAGTTATCTTATTGATATAACCGCTCGGATGCTGATATTATTACTATTACCGGGGTTACGCGCTCCCTGTAGCATTTACGTATATTATTGAACATAATATATATATATATGTTATAATCGTACTTTACCTAATACCACATAATATAATATATTACTTATATATTATTACTATTATTAATATATACTTAGTCACAGCCCGTTACATTATCACGGAATACGGGTTCGCATTTGCCGGCGTCGGTAAACTTCAACGGGGCTCGTCGATGTGCCAAAAACGGTCGATTAATTGTTCTACGGACGTGAGTAGAGACACGGCGTTTGTTTGCGCGGGATCGGTATATCCGACGGCGACACTGAACCAACAAGGATCCGCCCGAAACACGAACTGAACGCGGCGGACAACGACTTATTCACAACAACCTGACGCCCGTCAACAATGGATGAAAACAGGTCTGCACCTAATAATAGATCAACGGCGATATGGAAATCTGGGTCCTCCGCCAACGCCGAGTGCGAAAACTCGTCCCGTACAGACGGTTCCAACGAGTGCCGTGGGAGGTCACCGGTGATAGAACCCCATGACTCGAACGCTAAAACCGGATCGGACGCGTAGCGCGGCACAACATGGCAATCGACTCGGCCTTGCACCGTGACTACCGGCACGCCGGCCAAACCCGAAGTTGGTGCCGACCAAGTTGACCAACGGAGACCTAGTCGCTTCGCACATGGCTGCAGTGAAATCGTGTTTATTTGTGACGATGAATCCATCAACGAGCGGGCAGCTTGGAAACTTCCAGAACGATCACGTACCAAGCACGATGGACGGCGACCCGAGCCCGGATAATAGCGATGTGGGGACGGCAGCTGACTCCTCCTCCGACGACGACGGCGCAACGTCCGTAACCGTCGGATGCAGCATACTATGATGACGCGACCGGAGCCCGGCGTCTTCAGGCCGCACGATGCGCAGTCTCGAGGACCGGTTACCAAATATTAAAATGTGTATACTATCTATAATAATCCTTAAAATATGGTTTACAATAAAAAACTATAAGTACCTACCTAATAATAGATGTAGTACCTACCTATTCACTAGTATCAGCAAGGCTGGGCATTAACGAGTTAATAAGTTAAAGTTAAGTTACTTTTAACTAAGTTAATTAACGAGTTCCTTTTTTTTTTTTAGAAGTAACTTCTAACTTAACGAGTTACATTTTCCCCATGTTATTCAGTAACTTAACGAGTTAATTCATTTTATTGGCACGTTAAGTTAATTTTTTCCCAAACCACATATTTAAAATTAATTCAATTTTGTAAAATTAATTTTAAAAAAAACCGAAATATTAAATATATTTTAGTAAATAATTATTTATAATAATAGTAAGTTATTATATTGCATATTCACAGAAAATATTATATAACTAGGTATATTACAGACTTCTATAGAATTCTTACAATTAATTGCATAGTACCTATTTAATATTATATTATATTATAATAAATAATTATGAATTTGATTATTATAATATTTAGTATAGTTGTTGACCATTTATGTTAACAAATATACATAACAATAATTTAATTATTTTATTGGATTTCATCTTTGAATAAAGTATAATATTCAAATATAAGTACCTACAGAACTTATTTTATTACAAACATTTATTTAAAAATTATAAGACATTTATTGATTTAATGAATTATTATGTTATTTGTTTTCTTTAAAAAAGGTAGGCAGGTATAATTATTAATTTTATTAAAAAAAAAAAAAACTAACTTATTTTTAACTAAGTTAAGTTACTTTTAACTTTAAACTTAACTTACATTTTTCTTTATTAACTTATCTTAACGAGTTAAAAAAAAATAGTTAACTATTGCCCACCCTTGCGAGTAGGTACCTATACAATAATTATTAACTATAAAATTAATTAATTGACAAAAAAAAAAAAAAATGTTATATTAATCTGTTATTCAGATCCTTGAGTACTAAAATTTATTTGTGAACCAAACATTTGTTTTCAAAATTCATATTTCATCAAACGCTGTTGAGCATATTATTATGTTTGTAAGGGCGGGATGTATAAATAACAGCTAGTCTGAAAAATTTATAACCGGCTCTGTAATTTATATTCATTATAATATAAAGTTAATGATTGTGTTGAACTATGGTAGTGTTGTCTAAAGAAATATTAAATTATTGATAACCGTAATTACCAAATAAATTAAACCGCCAATATCTATGATAACATCAATGATATAAGATATTTCATCGATCTGTAAGTTACCGAATCAAAATCTGATCTGTATAGCTTATAGGTCTGGTAATCGATAATTTACAGAACCATTAACACTATACTCTATTTTTCGAGAGTTGACCCACTTCCGCGCATGCATACTGAGCCGCCGGAACGTTCAGACCCCCCAGGCAGCAGACCGGCGGTCTGTGATTGGTCGGCGGTGTTCGGCGACCGACGGCGCTTGTCGTAGTAGGCAGCTGCCGCCGTGTACAATCGACACCAGCGCTCAAACGAGCGGTGGCATGCGCGGCCGCGACCGGTTTTCGTCGGGCGAGTGGGTCAACTCTCGAAAAATAGAGTATATAGAGCGATATTCGGTTTTATTTACAGAACCGTTTACTGTTGCGATAACGGTTCAGTGAGTTGCTACAATACGTGCAACCCACCATAAGGGTTTTCTTCAACTTTTGAAATTTATTTTTCTTGATTATTTTTAAATATCATAATTTCATGCATTATAGTAAGATGTTGAACAAATCAACCAACTTTTCATTATCATTACATTTTTTTATGTTTTCATAATTCATTTTAAATATACCTTTAAGCCGAATCTCTGAATATATTGTATTTTTTTTTTTTTATAGGTACCTAGTATTGTAGTTTTAATAATTTAAAAGTTATATTTTATTTAGTGAATATATGTTATAAACACAAAGGTCGAAAATAAAGCATTTTATTTGTGTGGGGTAAAACGGTAATTGTGGACTGTATGATGGGTATGGGTAACTTCTCAAAATAAAAACCAAATGATGTGAGTGCTATGCCGGGTGACGGCCTACTATTTGCAAAGTAATAAATAATTTAAATCTGGGGCACAAATGTGCAGGCCAGCGTAGGGCTCTTAAAAACTAATTTTCCAATAATTTTAATATTACAACAATAATATAAATTAATAATTCAATAAAAACCGGTGATAATTGACGGTGTGGTGCGGGTGATGGTGACTTGACGGTGTGGTAAAGGTATGGTGCCTGGTTGATAAAGTGATGGTGAGGTAAAAGTATGGTGCCTGGTTACAAAACTAATGCCTTCAATTTTCCCGTGTAGAAGGTACAAACAAAAATCACGTAACACGACGGCAAGACTGTTTCGCGGTAACGCACACGGTATCGGAACACGAACTTGACGTGTATGCGCATTGACGGCTAACCGGGAACAGCTGATCGCAGTGGTGTAGCAAGATAGGTCGGGCTGCAGTTTTTCTTATAAACCGTTTGTTTTGGTATAGGACGTCTGAATACTGAACAATTTGTTTTAATAAATTCTGTGAGTACTTTTTCTTAATATAGGTACCTCATGAATTAAAAACATATCTTTTTTTCATATTGTTTTTAAAAGTTTAGGCTGTATAAATGTCATAAAGAATCTAAACCTAAAATGTTTATTACCAGTAAGGCTCGGACGTGGATGACCTTAAAAACATTAAAAAATTATCTAAAAAAAAAAATGCAAATATGACATAAAAATGACAAATATCTGTTTTAAATTAATAAAAATATATTTTTAAAAATATTTTACTCTATTTTACTATAAAATTCTATACACGTTTAACAAAGCCTACAAATTACTCAAAATATGACGAAAAAATAATAAAATGTAGGTACAATATTATTCACTATAACACGACAACGACGCGACGACGCGACTGTAATCGGCGAAATAAAATCGGATAGATAGTAATCTTAGTCAGTGGTAATTTCCAAGTTTTAAATTATCGGTATAATGGTTGACAAGAAACGATATGAAGTGAACTAGTGTGAAATCAGTAAATATGACTAAAATGTAATAAACACTAAAAAATGCAAAATGATTTCACCGAGTAAATTTTGTATTACATTATGCGGCCCCTTAAAAACCGATCCATGGGCATTTGGTGTGCCAGGCAGACACCGTGTGTGAGTGTTACAGAACCAGCGTTTTAACATTCAAAATTCAAATATCGAATTCATTAACGACTTTAACAATTGGTTTTGTGTGGAGAAACAACCTGTTCAAAACATAAATATTTAAATCGCGTACAATTTGACATACTTGTACAATAACATCGCCAATCCATAACATCCGTAATGTACTTATGTTGCCTATACAAAACGCCGAGTAAACCAGATAAAGGTAGGTTTTTTGTTTATTATTTACATTAGCGAGTTCTTTGTATATAACTGATTTAAACAATAATATACCTATTTAATATTACGAATTGTGTAATTTTCATAATATTCATAAAAATATAAAAGTCCACTACTAATGATTTATTTTGATGAACTCTAATAAATTATAAATAAAAATATTTGACTTACATAAATAGGACTATAACGTGCACGAATATTAAGAAACACCAAACAAAATATTATGTTCTATGTTTTTTTCAAACCTAGTTCGGGTAAAATCAAAAATATTATTAATTAAATAGTAAATTGAACAATTAGTTACTATGACGATTGACGTGGAATAAACATTAATAAAGAAATTAATATTTGCTGTTAAATGTTAACTTTCTATCATATTATACCTATCTAATAACTGCAGATCGTCGGATGGTAAATGCGCAGTGACATGTTATGAAATTTCGAGTGCTGTGACCTTAACTGAGCGAAATCCAGAAACTTGTATCTTTACTTGTTTTTAATTATTTGGCGAAAGTGTTGTGGTGTTATAAACCATATTATAATGCCCATCATATATTTCAGAACCTATACCCACTATTTATCAATTTAATATAATATGTAGTACCTACCTACATATAATAATTATTATGTGACTATAAATATTTTAATTTTGTTTTTATGTGATTGGTTGCCATGATGTATTGATGTATGTAAAAGAGAGTCTTTATTTTGTATGATTTATTTTCGAAAAAAAAATATTAAAAAGTAGCCGATTCCTTAAACTTTGTTCCCCATAAAAAATGGCAACTTTAAAAAAATTATGATTGTTGAAATCCTTCTGGGTGCAACTCACTGCAGTAAGTGTAACTAATTTTTTTATGTATTTCTGTTATAAAATATATATATAGGTAAATACTAAGATAATATTTTGCATGTAATCAGTTATCTTAAAAAGTAATGTTAGGTAGTAAAAGTCTATATTGTAAACTCTCATTTATGAACTCATTCAACTATATATAAATGTAATATATTAATATTATTTTAAATATTAGCAGTTGCTCCAATGAATTAAAAATATAGGACATATTAGGTTTGGTGACAGTTAGGTACGCAAGTCGGTAGACATCACCACATAGGACGGCTGTGGTTACAATATAATGTAGATTAACGACACACCATGTCCTCATGGTCAGAAAACAAATTAAGTATTACATTTTATTATTTTAATAACTGACAATTATTGTATTATCTTTATTGACTAGTCACTGTCAACATTGACTAAATGTCATATTTTCCGGTAACATATATATATATAATATATATAATGGTATTGTATAATAGTTATATATGCACATATATACAAGGC